CTGACCCCTTCTCTTACCACTACTGGGCACTTCCACGTGCCAGGCTCTGTGGTTCTGTGTTGGGGGGGAGGGGACACACAGCAGACATCCTGGCGCCCCCAGAGCTCGCCGTCTGCCGGGAAAGATGGGCAACACCTGAGTCACCGAGCCCAGCCCACCGTGGGCACCTTGCACAGAGCCTCGGAGCCGCTGAGAGAGTCTGGGGATCTTTGCTGAATTAATGACACTTCCGTGCGGGTGCAACTTGATTTAGACTGATCAGGGTGTATTTTCGGATTTTTATCTAGTCAAGACCTAGAAATGTTACACTGACATTTTCTCTTCCCTTGGATGTTCTAATAGCTGAACTAAAAAGACAGGAAGCAGCCCGTAGAGAAAAGAAATTGGGTTTTCAGTGAGATTTAATGTGTTTTGTGGCTAATACATATGCTGGGGATAGGGAAGGAGGTAGACTGTAAATACTGTGATTTTATAATCATCAGAATTTAGCAGTTGCTAGAATTTATACAAATGTAAGTTTTTCTTAGAGTCACAAATAATATGGGCTTTTGTTAGAATTTTAAGCTTACCTTTTTAAAAAGATTTTTTTCTATCTTTTTTACTTGTCTTGGGCTCACCACATTAGTTTCATAGGCCAGTTCTTCTGTGGGCTGTTTAACCATTAGAAATGTGTAACAAAAATCATTCTTGGCTTGTGTTTAAGTGTGGCTGTATTTGTATATGACAGGAGATGTGTGTGAGGGTGAACTTTGCCCCAGGACAGCGTTTAACGGGGTCCCTGGCCTCGGGGCAATAGCACAGCCTTCTCCCTTGATGGCAGTGACCAGGGGGGCTGACTGTCCGGCCCCGACACTCTCCTCCCAGCTGCTCGCTGCTAGCCGGGGCTCCCAGCAAACAAGCATGTGTTTGATTGTTGTGACAGACACATCAGTTCTTTGGCCAGCAGAGGATATAAAACGAGTACAGTGAAAGCAGATACAATGAGTGCTGAAAACAAAACCCGAGGGTGGTTTTGTCAGGTGGTGGGAACCTCTGAACTGAGGCCCAGAGGGTCAGTGGGGAGCAGCCGCGCCCTGGGCCAGCCCTTCTTGGGTGGGATGAGACTCGTCACAGTAGGCAGCGCCTCCTGGGCACCTGTCGGGGACCAGTTAGCAGGCTCCGCCCTTCCCACAAGTGTCCCATCCCCACGTTGTGGCAACAGCGCGAGCCCGCCATCTTCATTCCCTGTCTCTCTGCTTCTCATCCTTTTTGGCTGGTTATTACCCACATTCCTAAGTCCAGGCATGCAATTTGATTTTCCCTTGGGTGTTTACTGTTCGGGACACTAGGAGAAGCTTACAGATACACTTTTTTAATGTAATGGTTCAGTTTTCAAAAAGAACAACTGTTAACATTATTTCTACTTTGTAAGTTTCTTCACCTGGTTAGAGTACAAGGTCGGGCCATCGCAGACCTGAGCGGTGCCCTCTGGGGTGGCCAGCGCTGGACCAGCCTGCAGGGTGGTCGCTGCTGCCCCGCCTGGGTGGCCCGGGTGGCCACCCGTCATCAGCGCCTTCCAGACTCCAAACCACATTCCGCGTCGATGCACGGAAGACTCCAGGACCAGCGGGCAGTTGCGGCCGGCAGCTCCCCCTGCTCCCAGCGTGGGTCTGGCTCACACGCCGTCAGCTCCAGACGGTGACTCGGGATCCGTCCGACGATGCCCGCTGGCAGGTGCAAAGAAGCCGCCTCTTCAGCGCTGCGTGGCGTACTCACCGTGGCGGAGTGCTGGTACGTCAGGAGCGGCGCGCAGGTGGGCAAGAACGGCCACGGCGCTGGGCGGCGGTGTGTTCGTGGGTAACAGAAGGCAGAGGACCTGCCCACCTGCTCTCCGGGCTACGTTGACGCCACTAAGGAAGGTGGTTCTTAACTGGAAGTCACTGGAATTAACATCGTTACAGCTTACTTCAGTCCAGGGAACAACGTGGAAGGATTGCCTGGATTGAACGTGCGTCCAGCCCAAGTCCGGGAGCGCGTGCCCCGAGCGTGCCGGCCGGGGCTGGAGCAAACAAGGCGAGCCACGCTCGGTCTGAAGTCCCCCAGGGCAAGAGGAAAGTGCGGATTCTGGCGATCAAATGGCAAAACTGATGTTTCATGTCTGCAGAGCCTGAAACAGATGATCAGGCAGATGCCTTGAGTGTTAAGAGTGTTGCGGTCTGTAGGCTAACACAGGATGTCATCAAGACATCTGACTACATCTTTCCACTGTGAGGGATACAGTGGTGACATGTGGAATGGACAGAGACAATATGAAGTGGGTTTTTAAATGGTTAAAAATCTCTAAAAAAATTCTCAGCTAACAACTCAAGGACAAAGGGAGGTCTCGAGTGGGTTCTGGGCCTGTCTCCGACTTTGCCTGCTCGGCATTTGCATCAATAATAACTTGAGGGACCTTGTAGAAGTTCGCTAATCGGACTTGGGGATGACACAGTTTTGAGGGAGCTGAGTAACCTAGGAGACAACAGAATTTAAACTGAAATCCGTTTTGGTTATCTAGAAAATGACCAGAGGCCATTTAACGGAGATGTGTGCGGTCCTGACTCCAGGAGAGCAAGTACAGCTTCCAGGGTAGGAGTGCAGAAGCCTGGCTTGAGAGCCTTTCAGGTGAAAATACCGGAGTGTTTTTTGCAGGCGCCGGCGTAACCGGCTAGTATGATGTGGCTGCGCGCACGGGAGCACGGGCCCGCTCCGGAAGCGCTCCCCGCTGCACTGAGGGCTGCACTGCCAGGCCGGTGGCAGCGGGCCTCAGTGGGAGCGCTGCACTTGGACGGGTCGGGTCCGGAGACGCAGGAATGAGTAAAGCAGCCGCGGCCTTTATTCCCTTGTTCTCCGAAGGCTTACAGCACGGTGGCAGCGAGCGGCCCTCCCTGCAGTTACAGGGAAAAGTCACAACTGTGGTGAACACAGGACAGAGGTCGGTGGAGCCACAGAATTCTCTGGGGTCCCTTCCAGTCTGGGAGAATGGGAAAGGGCCCGGCACCCCCAGAGCCTGCGGGTGAAGACGAGCGAGCCAGGCCAGAGGAGGAAGCACCAGCAGCGAAGGCAGGGCCAGGCTCCGTAGGGCCTGGGCCAGACCAGGAGTTGGGGTGCTGGCCTAGAGAAATAGGGGAGACTGGGGGGGCAGGCTTCAGACACTCGAAGTGCTTCACGCAGAAAAGGGAATAGGGTTGTCATCTGTTATTTCAAAGGGCAAGACCTTTGACGTCCCACGGAGGGCAACTAGTGAGAGGCAGAGTCTTGCATTGAAGAACAACTTTCCATCCCAGCCAGTTAGTGGGAAGTGTGTGTGACATTCTGGGGAAGGCGGTTCTTTCCTTGGGCAGGAAATGAAAGCAGAAGATTCCTCCCAGTCTGTCCGCACCGTCCATCAGCCTGGGGCATGGAGCTGGTCATCGCCTGCGGGACCTCGGGTCTCCCATGTGTGAGGGCCGTGCTCGCAGGGTCCTTTTCCCAGGCCCCGGCCGTTCCCGTAGAGAACAGCTGTCAAATGTCTCTGACCACAGCCCACAGTAAGAAACACGGCACCCGGCACACATGTGTGTGCCTATGGAGAACTGAAATGAGTTCTATGGAAGAAAGACCCTCACTACGTGCATTTTTTAATGCTAACCTTAACCCACTAAGCGTTCATGACGCACAAATGAGAGATCACAGCCTCGGTTGGAAAGACAGCAGCTTTGAGAAGTGCCCCTGCCTGTCCGCTTCCTCTCCCCAGGATTAACCTCTCTCCTAAGGCTCCGTGAGGGACGAGGGCTCGGGCCATGCAGGCAGTGCGGAGAAGTGACCCCAGCCTCCTCCCCTGCCCCCTTCCTCCCTCTCCCCCTCACTTTGGCCCCTCAACGCCCTGCTCTCCCCTGTCCTGCTCACGCACGCCCGGACTCCCCGAGCCCGGGAAGGAGGGTGGTATCAGGTACTTTCTTTCCGCTTCGTACCGAGCACGTTGTTTTCCGCAGGAGAGGTTAGAAACGGTGACCAAGTTCTCAGTCCACAAAGGCCTCTTTCACCCACATGTGGTGAAAATCTCAACAGTTTGTGTCACTTTTCATTACATATTATTGCAAATGTATATCTCAACAAAAGTACAAAAAGGAGCTTCCTTTGGCTCGTCTGGGGTCATAAATATCTTTATGGCACATTTTTAAATGGTAAATTAGGTTACCAGCAAACTCGAGTGGCACTGCCCGCTTCACTGGAAACTGTATGCGCGAGCACAGGAAACCTCTAGTCACAGATGCAGGATTTGTGGTCCAGAAAACGCAAGCCTCATCCCCCCTGCGCTCAGTGACGCTAGCCACCTCCTTCCCCTGGCTTCTGCCCCTGGCCTCACCCCCTTTGTGCGTGGTTCTCTGCTGCTGCCCAGGGAGCCCCCCGCCCCGCCCCCCAGCCAGAAACTCAGCAAATGCCGCAACTCACGTCGAAGGTTAACAAACGAGGTGTGGGCACCCAGGGGACCCTCTCTGGCTGGGTGGTTCCAGGAACCTGCATGCGCTTTTGTCACCGGTGTCTCCCAGCGTCAGGGATAATCGTCTGTTAAGCGACTGTTCTCGTATGCGAGGAAACATGACTTGAGGAGTTCACAGGAATCGGATTTGATACCAAAGGAGCGTGCAAAGCCGTGTGAGCGCTGGGCTGCGGGAACAGACTGGCTTTCCCAGCGGCATCCCGGGGACTCATCTACCCGCTGCTCATCCTGGCAGGTCACCGGACCCTGGGGTGCAACTTCCTTGTCTCTAAGATGAGAATTAAATGAGATAATTGTACTTGTTAGCTCTATGGTAAGCACTTTGAAATGTCGTGCCCATTTAACATTTTAAAAAAAATCAGATTTCACACTAAAATGAAAATTAGGGTTCTTGTTTTGTTTTGAAAACAAAAGCCTTGTAAGGAACATTTCAGGGGCTGGTGGGTTAGTAGTCAAGTCGCCGGCCTCATTGGGTTTCCGGTTGTGTTTCTGTTTCCAGGTTGCCCGGCTCATGGAGATGGGATTTTCCCGGGGTGATGCTCTAGAAGCCCTGAGAGCTTCGAACAATGACCTGAATGTGGCCACCAACTTCCTGCTGCAGCATTGAGGGTCCTGGACAGCTGCACAGACACTGGCCGAGCGGCTGCCCACCCCCAGCGGGCGCAGCCCCGACTCCAAGGCAGCCTGGGTCCCCCGCGCCCTCCCTGGCTGACCTCCTGTGCTCTCTCGGGCCTGCGGTGGTCCCTGTCGCTCCTCCCGTAATTCCAAGGCCATTACCGTTTTTAAAAAGTCTCAAAAATAAGTTTGCCATTAAATCAGCATGTATTTTCTATCTTTATTTTTTTATGGGGCATTTTCCTGAGTTTGGCCAATCGTTACTCATTCCTGATTTGTTTAAGATGCATTAGAACTGCAGATTTCTGTAAGCAATTGAATAGCACCCCCAATGGGAAGTCATTGCTATTATCATATTATTATTTTCACTGTACTGTGTCAGCCTACATTATAGCTGATCATAAACGCCACGACAGGGGAAAGGGGAATGTTATTCAGGAAGAAGATGGCAAAATACTCCTTACAGACTTTTCTCATCACTGTTTTTTTCCTCAAATTTGCTTTCCAACCCCAGTGGCCATTTGGTGTCCCCCTTTCCATGGGGGGTGAGCAGTACGGATCTGCTGCACTCAGTCTGAGTCAGGCCTGAGTGAGGAGGGAGAAGCAAGAGAAGCAAATCCGACCCCACACCGTTCCAGCCCATTTCAGTCCAGGGAATCTTTCTAACTCCTCCTCCTCACTTCTATTATAGAAAGTAATGATGATCAGGTCCCAATGTAAGGTTCTAGAATACTCTATGAAACTTAACTGGGGTTCCTCACCCTCAGAATATGTACAGTTAGCCTCTCAGGCTGGGGGTGGTAACAGGACAGAGAGAGCAGGGGGGTTCCCTGGAGCAGCGCAGGGCCCCCGCGCTCTGGCTGTTGGGCTGTCAGCGGGAGGCGCAGGAAGGAGCCTCAGGAAAGAGTGAGGCAGGGGTGGGCCACGGCGAGAACACAGGGGACTACACTAGGGGGACTGTTGAGATCAAAGGCAATTATGTGACTCTCGTGTTCTGTGAAAGGAGCAGAAATGTATCAAATTGATGCAAATTTGGACAAGTGTAATACTTATAATAAAGTTTTTAATGTGTTTTACTTTGTGGTATTTTTTATTAGGCTTACCTAAATAAAATTTTGTTCTAAGCTGCATAATTTACCACTAGTTTTTTGGGTGTTTTTTGTTTGTTTCTTTTTTGTGTGTGTGCCAATGCTGCTCTTTCTTCAGAAGATTCGGGTGCTTTTTTTTGGAAGTGAGAAAAGTCCCTTTGTTCCTGGCCCCGTGAGGCCCCATCCTTAGGCTTGCTGAGGCCCTCAGGCTGCTCAGAATGAGGGCTGAGACGACTTTCCGGGAGCCCAGCTGGTCCCACGCACAGACCCCGATATTGATCTGAGTCTCCCCACATCAGGGTGTCGGGCTGGCGGTCGCCAGGCCGAGCATCCCCGGCTGCGTTCCCAGGCCAGTGGCTCATAGGAGACAGGCTGGGTGCACTGAGGCACCTTCAAGCAGGAACATCTGAGCCAATCCGCGCCCACCCTCTGGCCCTCCCAGGAGAGCACGTTGCGTGTCCTGTTTTTCCCGACTCCCGGCCTCTGTTCCAGCAGCCTCCAGCCGCCCATCCTTCGCGTGCAACTGCCAGGCCTTTTGCCCCCTTGCTCCGCCCCCGCCCTCCAGATCATCCCAATCCCGACCGCCCCCCAACCCCGCACACACCCCTGACTCTTCAGCCTCGGGCACGTTGTCTGGACCGCACTGCCGTTCCCGTCCCAGGCCCGCTGCTCTCCCTGCGGATTCTAACCCAGCCGCGGCCGGCGATGGCAGGAGCTTGAATACCCGAAAACAAGCTCCCTTGTTAAGACCCCCAGAAATCCCTCCCGCTGACAGGACCACTAAAGAAAAGCCTCTGTTTCATGCGTCAATGCAGAGTGACGCATGCGGGGGGGGGGGGGAGGGGGGGCGTCAGCGAGCCATTTGCTTTGGTTTCCTAAAGTCTAGAAAAGATGATGCCCCCTTGACTTGGTGTGAACAGTAATAGATCGGGCCTAGTTTCCAAGCAAGCAGATTCCAGACTGCAAAGAGAGGAGGAAGAAGGACAAAGTGGTCTCTGGCGAACCCCCCGCCCCCTTTTCCCCTCTTCCCAAATCAAGGAAAGTCTACTTTTTTTTTATAATATGCTAAAAATATTTTAATACATCTAGTATTTTTTTTAATAATGAAAGTCTACTTCTAAAGTCCTGACCCTAAATCTAGACTGAGTTTGAGATTAGAAAGGGGGAAAAAAAAATCAGGGAAATTGAGCATAAAATTGAAAACACACACATTCCTGCACCACCTAGAATTTTTTCAGAGTTCAGGTTCCTGGGGCACTGGTTCTTCAGTGGAAACGGAAGGGTCTACACCATGAACTTGAGTTTTATTTTCCTCCAGCAAGCTGAAGTGGTCTTTCATTCATGGGAATCAAAGGCTCATTTTCAGAATCGCCCAACCCCTGTAGCATGTTTGTAAAGTCAAAATTGGCTTTCTGGCTCAGACTAACGTTTTAGCTCTGAAACTGCAGTCTTGCACTTGAGAAGACTGGCCAGACTCACAGGAGTTTGCTAACCTGCTGGATATGGTTGTATCTGAGAGGAGCCACAATGGCTAATGGCCTCGACAGGACAGAGGGGGCATTTCGGGCCGAGGTTGGGGGAGGGGTGCACCTGGTTTGGGTCTAGGGGAGACGGGGTGCCAGGGAAGTGGTCCCCAGAGGGCGAAATAGATCTGGAAAGAGGCAGGGGTTAGAGACCTAGGTTGGGAGTCCTGCTCTGGGGATCACGGAGGAACGGTGACCAAATAGCGAGAGAGAAAAGAAGAGGGGGAATTTCCTGCATTTCTAGCGGAGGAGGGGAATGGAGAGGACGAGCGACTATCGAGGGGGGATCAGGATGGTGACGCTGCTGGACAAGGACAAGGGGAGAGGTAGTGTCAGCCCTGCTGTGGCCGGCCCAGAGGACAAGAGCAGGAACACTGGACAGGACGAGAGCAGAGATCAGCTGTGTGCACTGGTCCAGGAAATATGGGGAAGGAAGGGGACGGGGGACTGTTCCAGGGTCAGCTTGTAGGTCAAGGTAGCCAACCCGGTGATGAGAGACCCTGCCTGAGCTCTAGGCCCAGAAAGGGTGTGATCAGAACCATTAGGAGGGCTTGGCCTTGGGAACCAGGAAGGACGTCTGTCCTCCAGAACCAGAGAAAGGAGACAATGAAGGAAGCTAGAGGAGTCATAAACTTGGAGCAAAGTTGAAGAAGGTTCTGGTAGTTTCTGGCTTCTTAATAAAGAAGGGAATGAGGATGAGGGGCCCGAGGTGGGGCTGGGAGCTTGAGGAGAGTGAATAGAGGCTTGGGAAACACAAAGACGCTGTATCAGTCACTTGTGTTTCTTGGGTCCGTGAGCCCCGGATGCCAAAATTCCAGAACCTTGAGAGACGCCGACGGTGACTTGGGCAGTCCCAGAAACTAGCCCCCGAGCTCCCGCCCTCCTGCTGCCTTCAGGCCGACCCTGACCCGTGCCCTCCGTCTCTGTTCTCAGCTGCCCTGGTGTCTGCGGAGGATGCCACCCTGTGCCACCAGTCCCCGGACACCCACCTGGTCCTCCCACGAGGACAAGAGTGCCTGGGGGACCCTGGCATTGCTCCAAGGCCGGGCAGGGGGGCATCCCCCAGCGGCCAGACCCAGATGTCTCGGGGCCTCCGCTTTGCTGCTGCAAAAAGAGAAGTGCCAAATGGATCGCAGGGGGGACCCAGTAACCCACAGCGGCTCATGGCGCTCAGAACCTACAGAACTCCACGTTGGGGCCCGCCTGGGCGTGTACAAACTCCACTCCTTCCAACTCCCCCTCCCCCCCGCCGGCCTCAGCAGCGCCACCGACGAGGCTCTTGCAAGCAAAGCGGACCCTTTCCCTGAGTGTGGCATCCTGACTTTGGGCAGTTCCCGGGCTCCTAGAATGGTCGAGCTGGAAGGGGACATTCATTTGGCTCGAGCCCACATTAGGTGAGGAGGTGGGGTCAGAAAGAGCCCGGTGCGGGGGGACAGGGGCAGATGGGCTGGGGGCTAAAAGCAGCCTTCCTGTGCTGCTGGGGGCCTGTGCCCCAGCCCTCAGCCCCTTCCCAGGGCAGCCCCCCAAAGTTAGCGTCTCTCCCTCGGGCTGCTCCAGCCCCGGGCTCTGGCATCCCGCTGGGGATTTGAGCCCCCCGGCAATCTGCAGAGGCCAGAGGAGGACAGAAGGAAAGATCGATCTGCTCACGCTCCAGACTCCCCTGGGGACGGTCCTGATGGCCAGATTCCTGTCATGCACCCCTCAGCAATGACTGGACGGCAGGTCCCCCTGGGTTCCTCTGCTGGTCCTGCTGCCCTGCTGTCGGCACAGAGAGGGCAAATGTACGAGGGCAGCTCAGGACGCACTCTTTCATTGCACGAGGCCAGGATTCCTCCGTGGGGCCAGAGCTGTCTTTCCAAACCACAGAATGTGCCAAAATCCATGGCCACCTAGCTCTCCCCCACTTCAACGTGCGTCTGCGGAACCACAGGTGCTCTCCCCACACTGCACAAGTTCAGGACGCTGTCCTTGCAACCTTCCAGGGGCACCAGTGGGGGTGATGCAATGTCTCTCCCTGGGGTTAACCTGGCACCGCAGACAGGCCCCCTTTTTGAAGGCGGCCAAGTGGGACCCAAGCCGCAGGCAGGATTTAATGCCTTTGGGACCTTTAAACAGAGGCTGTGGGTCCCTGGGGTGCTGGCCCCTAGAGCCTTATTCTGAGTGTGGCCCCTCCATGAAGTGTGAAAACTGCAGATGGCAGGTGAGGGTGAGGGCCTGTGTTGTGGGGGGCGAGGGGGGTCCCCGATCCTTGCTCCCCTTCTGGTCCCCCTGCCCCTTCGGAGATGTGCTGTGCCCCCAGGTGGGAGAAGCCAGTCCCCTGAGCCTGGTTGGCTGACTTTTCTGTCCTACATTTATTCACGGGGGACCCGGGCCAGTTTTGTTCTTTTGCTGTTATCAGCTGTGTGTCCAGAGATCTTACTGTCAGATTACGTAATGACGTTCGCCAGGAGGACCTCA